ACTCACAACTCTTTTGCCAAAACTATGAGTCTACCCTTAGATTTTAGGAGTCTGATAGCGAGCTAAGCTGGATCTATAGATGTTTGAGGGTTAGTGGAAAGGCACTTAATTGAGATTAGACACTTTATGACACTTCAAGTTTAAACTAAAGTGCAGGCATCCTAGATCTTAGAAGCACAACTTAAGAGATAGTTTATCATCCTAATTTTCAAATGACCCTAAGAAATCCAAACATCTAACCTCAGATTAGGAGATAAGTAGGACACTAGACACGATGGTGCACTAAATTGTGACTCATGACTGATTTAATTAAATCAAATAATGAAATTCTTACCTTAATTTGACCTAAATTGAAACCCAATGCTCCGGGATTTGAGTTTGTTTTACACTCAAATCTTCCTGACAATTGGGGACATTCCAATATCACATAAAAATTTCCTATTTTTGGTCCTTTATATGTGATATTGTGTTTCATTTATTTGTTTATCTTTTTCCTACGATTTACCTGTTTCTGTTAAGTCCTTTTTCAGATCATACTTTCCTCTTTTACACAGCGCATAGTAGCTAAACTTAAAGGAGTAATGAGCCTATCAGATGTACAGGTTTAATTTATATTACAGCATTTTATTTTCCCAGCATGTAATATTGTTTTCATAGTCTATGATATTATTTTCTCAGCATGTTATACTGTCTTTTTCTTTCTACTGTACACTATACTGCTCTTTTCTGTTATACTGCATGCTTAGTTACTTTGGTATGATATGTCTTAGTGTAGAATAACCTAGTGGTTAGGTGCATGTTCAAAACTAAAACTAAACCAAGAGGTGCTACTACGAGAAGTTTGGAGCGAACAACATGGGCAGCACGACGAGGAACAACTTCCAGGTGGATCTGCAGCAGCACAACATCTTCTCATCATATAAACATTTTCACATCACCTATTTTAGGTTACTGTACGGTACAGTGTAAATCCTCTATCTTTTTAGGCTATTTGCACGATCAGATATCGTGCGAATACAAGTCCTAAATTCTAAATAAATTGCAGGATTAAAACATCAAATAACATTATTTCAAAGATATAAAGTCAAACAATAAGATAGTTGGGAGGTCACCGTTCTTGTCTGGATCCGTGATATCCCCTACTCTTCATTCCTTTGGATTCCTTAAAATAGCTGTTCTTGTTTCCACTCCCATTTGATTTTCTCATGTCCAATCGTGAAAATTTAAACTTTGAAATCTTGAAAGCAAAACCACCTGATCTTAATCGAGAATTTTCTTAAGTGATTTCGATCATTTAAGATGTAATTAACTATAGGGGCTTGCCTTTATAGGGAAGCAGGAACATAGATAAAATAAACCCTATTTAATTTTTTATGTTAGGTAGAGGAACTTGTTGGCCTTTTTATAAAATATTTCGCAGACCAATATGGATGTCACAAATTCTGTAGTTTGGGTGATTGAATCCCTATTACAAGTGATATATTTATTTTTCGGGATAAGTGTATTGCCTGTAGTATTGTATTCAATCATCTAAATTATTTAAATGTGAGACCCGTTTGGTCTCACCTATTTTAAAATTAAAATGTTACATTTAAAAAAATCAAAAAGGTTATATTTATATTTAAATTATTTTCAAAATCACAAAATCATCACTTTTTTTCAAAACCCGAAGTTAAAAAAAAAAAACGGCCGACAATTCACTGCTACCATGCTCTGATCACCATGTGCCTCGATACTCTACCTACAAGTAAGCGTACAACCAGTGCCCTCTCTACATCTCCAATACTGTCCTCAGGTCCCCAATATGCTCGGTCTCCATAAGACTATAAATCAGGATGTCATTAAGAAAATATGAGGACGAACTTCTTAAGGTAAGGCTGAAAAACGCTATTCATAAGAGACTGAAATGGGGTCAGAGCATTAGTAAGGCCGAACGTCATCACTAAAAACTCGTAATGTCCTTCACGAGTCTTGAACATTATCTTGTGCACATCGGTTGGATTCATCATGATATGATGGTATCCTGATTTCAGGTCGATCTCTGAGAAGATAACTACTCCAATAAATTCATCGAACTACTTAATGCCCAGAATAGGAAACTGGTCCAATAACTTTTCCATGTTCAGAGCCATGTAGTCCACAAAGAATCTCCAGCTAGCATCTTTTTTTTCAGCAAAAGAACTAGACAAAAAAATGAGCTCACACTGAGCCTGATAATCCTGCTTTGAGTATCTCCAAGATCAACATATCAATCTTATCCTTCTGAATCCGAGGATACCAATAGGGTCACTGATATGAGGAATACCTTCCTATAACATAATGGCATGCTCATGCTCTCTCAGTGGCGGTAACCCGATAGGTTGCTGAAAGATGTTGAAACACTATTGCAGATACCGAATCTCCTCTATGCACTACAACTTCTTCAGATAGCCCAACCCTATTTATCATATCTTATTGATTATGATTTTGAGTGAGACCATGGTTCTACACAAGCCAGCATCCCCTCTAAGCACCACCTCCCCCCTCCCCCACTCCACCCTAATCTCCATAGCCAATGATTTCCAATCCACTTTCGTCTATCGAATCGTTTGTAGCCACTTCATTCCCAGAATCACATCAGTGCTTTCCAAATCCAAGGGAAGGAAATCCTCCACCACTTGTAGGCTCTATTGTGTCAAACTCAATCCCCTGCAAATTCCTCGATTTTCTCCACCATCCTTGTCCTCATCATGACCCCAAAGCTTCACATATCTACCAGCTTCAAACCCAACTAGTCCACGACCCAGTTGGAGATAAAAATGTGAGTGACCCTGCTATCCACCAACACCACTACAGGTTGCTCCCCGATCTGTCGCCTCACCTTCATGGTGCGAAGCGAATCTCACCATTAAGTTGAGGGACCGCTGCTAAATGCAAATTTAAGTTCTCCTCTCCGTCTCCCACTTCTTCATCCAAATCTTCACTATACGCCTCCACCCCATCACAAATTGTAAGGACTGGGAGCGCGTGATCTTGGTGGCCTGGAGCATACTTCTCTTCACATTGAAAACATAATCTCTTTGCTTTGATGACCAGCACCTCTGCCTCTATGAGGCGCTTGACGTTCACCCCTGAGCGAGCCACCATATTCCGCTTCTTCGGCGCTTCCTTATGAAATGAAACCGTCTTGGTCCTTGTTGTCATGATTATCAAGGTACTCTTATAGAATCATCCTAGGGTGCCTCCTTTAGTGGTCTTCTCCATCTGGTTCTAGTCTTTCACCATCTATGCAGCTCCACTGCCTCCCTCAATCCTCGTGGTCTTAAAAGTCAAAATGATGCACTTATGTCGAGCTTTAAACCCTTCATGAAATTTCCGTCTAATTCTGCTTCAAAAGTCCCGCTCAACCTTCCCGATGATAGTCGAATCTCTTCCTATATTTCATCATAGTCCCCTCCTGAGTCGAGGCATATAATTCCTAGTGTAGATCTTTTCTAATGGCTCGGAATCCAACATGAAATCCTTAAATTCATCCCATGAACGGATCATATATTTTACCTCCCTCCACGGAAACCATGCTAGAGCTTTCCCTTCTAAACATAACCCTGCCGCCATGAGCTTCTCCTCTCCATTTAGCCCATTCACTGTGAAGTTTCACTCCACCCTATACACCCATTCCATGTGTGTCTTTCCCTTCGAAAATCAGCATCTTCAACTTCCTCACCCTAGCATCACCTCCCCATTAAACTATCTCCTTCAATTATAGCCATACCCCCATTCGGTCTCCCTTCTCCCACTTTAATGCTCCTCCAAACTCCTTGCATTACCCCGCCTCCAAATTTTAGCCCAACACCCTCACTCAAAAATCTTGATCGAAGTCCTCGGGGGAAGTTATTGATATTGGATGTTTTCTTCCTCATGTTCTTCTTTTTCGATTTATTACCCTTTCGATTTGGCTAAATAATGATTTTCTAGTCAACCTTTGGTTAGAGTTTGCAATCTGAGTCGTCGGTGGCGTTTTAAATTGCATTTCAATGAGCCTCCTCAGCATCTCCTACACACCCTCAAATTGATATTCCATATAAGAAAACCTTTCATCCGCTATCCCGGATTTAAGTTGTCATACTCCATCCAATCTCTCCAAAGCATCAACTTTCCTTGCTGTCATCTCTCCAAGATTATGTAATGATACCAGTTTGATACGCCCCAGAGCCATAAAAAATGAACAAATTGCATAAATCAATAGAAAAAAATAGATTCTGGCTAATTTTAATAATTCAGGCAAAAAAAAAAGATATAATGGTGATCTACAATTTGAGAGGTAGAGGCTCTTCACCAACCCTAAAGGCCGCTATAAACCAAACCTTAGGAGACTAGCCCTAATAAAAAAACCCACAAAACACTTTCAAACTTACCCTCAAATACATTCAAACTTTCTCCCAAAATCCCTCCTTAATTCCTCTTCTTGCATAAGTGATTATTGGCTTCACTCACAGGCCTGACCCCCACAACCCCAGCCGATAGGCTTGGCTGGGTCGGTCCCTCCTAGACCAGTGTAACAGCCAGTCCCACCTGGATTGGCATAACAACCAGTCCTTTCCAGACCGACATAGCAGAAGATTTACATAGATACCACTCAATTCCTAAGTTTTTCATACCAAACATTTAAACTTCACTTTTTACACACATACCACCTTATTTAAGCATGTTACTCTAAATTTTAGAAGTTTAAATGGTGGTATTTTCATGCTATGTGAAAGATTTGGGTTTTATAAATGTAAAATGAAAATTTTGGGTTTTAGATGAGTAAATACATAGGAATTGGGTTGTGTGCATTTAAATGCCCCAAAAATATAACTACTTTTTCCAAACTGGAAGAAGGGAGATGTATCAACAGTAAAAGAACATGGGGAAATGAAAGCTCACAAGATGATATCAAAAGAAAGATAAATTTGAATTTTCGAGAATAGGTTTAAGACAGACCAGAAAGCATAATTGCAAGAAATTATGGTCTGACTTGCCTTTTGACTCAATTGCAGCGGAGTATCTATTCCATGGTTCACTGTGTCATCTGGGAGGGATGAAAGCACCAAACCTAGAAGAGATTCTCGGTCTATACCTTCAAGGGCCTTGTAAAGTGCATCTAATTCTGCACGAATGGGCAAACCTCTGGACAGTGCATCTTCCAAGGCAAGCGTCCCCTGCAAGTTTTAGCATAAATGCGTCCTTAATTTAGAAAAAAAAATAAAATTTTTGACAAGATAACAGTGCAGAGCAAGGCAAGGATAAACTTAAGAAGTAAGTTGGGAACTTTACATACATATCGCACAACTCTTATGTATTCATATATTTAACACCTAAAATTTGATATTTACATATATAGCACTTTAGTATTAAAAACTTGTGCATGAACATATGTATTTTACTTATGAAAAGTAAGTGATAATAGCATTTTTTATGTGATGTCAAAAAATTAAGTGGAATGTATATAAAAATGAGAATCTTACAAGAGCAAGTTTGTGAACAGAATGCTTCCGATCTTGCATAGAAGGCCATGCACAAAGCATTTATCTGAAACATAGCTAAGCAAGGCATCAGTGTGAAGAATTTTATTAAGATGAAATGAAATATAAATCCAAAGTTTAATAGATCTTAAGAAAAGCATGCCAGCCCTTTAAAAGTCTTATAGGCGAAACCACATGTCAAAAGACAACTATTCAAGCATAAAGCTTGGAGAACAGCTCATACATTAAGGTTTGCTTCAGCAATTTTCTCCATCTGGGATGACTTCTCTCTAGCAATAGCTGCTGCTAATTCAGCTTTAGCCAGGTCTTTAGTTTTCATAAGCAGAACATTAGCCTCCTCTTCCTGCAATAATAATATCTCTGCTTTGGTTGGTTATGGTTCCAAAATAAAGAGTTCATTACTATCACCAGCATCATCACCCTTATCCCAATATTTTGAATACTGCATATCTATATAAAGTGTTTGCATCCATTACCTTTTGTTGCAATTCCTCCCTCAGCTTCTGTTCAGCTTGCTCTTGGATTGACTTGATTGTAGCTGCAGCCTTTGCCTTTTCTTTGTTCATCTCCTGAAGACAGTTTAGCAGATTAAGATGGAAAAGTAGTCATCAATTATTAAGAACACATCAACATAGTTTTATCCCACCCTCATGTATCTCACCCTTTCTCCCACTACCTATATCAATATTTATTTCTATCTCTATTTATCTATGTCTCTCTATCTTCGCTATATCTCTCTTATCTCTCTATAGAAAGAATGAGAAAAAGAGAGATAGGGAGGTGCTGTGGCAGAGATATCAGCACAAAAATATAGGGATATATATATATATATATATAGAACATCATGTCCTTCAATTTTTTAATACTTTTTTATAGAAATAAATAGCAAAATTTCATAAGCAGATTGCTCAGTACATGTGACGGGAAGAAAATTATGAATTATATCAAATACGGTAACATCTACAAATTTGATACAAGGGTAGAAAGATTATCACGTTTTAACAAAAAATAAATAAATAAACAAGACTAGAAAAATTACTTAAACCCCTCCAATCAAATTTCGGTCACACAAAAGCTAGTTATCCCTCGTGGTTGTCCAAATCCCTTTTACTGGGTACTGCAATATGGAAAATAAATTTGATCCAGGAAACATGGGATAGAATTTTGGTGATATTACAAATATGCCATTAAATTAATTTAATATTATAACCTCCAAATCTTCCTTATATCAAAACGTCCATATTATGAAAAAACAACGAAGTAGATAAACAATTCTGCTCAAATTATGAAAGCGTCGTCTCCATACAAAATGTAAAAGAGCATAAAAAACTGCACAAATGATAAATCAAGGTATTGCATGGACATGAGAACAATGATCACCTTAGTATGTCAGCAAGATCATCTTCAACCTTTTCTAATGAAGTGGCAACACAAATTGGTATACTTGCTTATAAGAAAATACACTTTATCTCTAGATAAATAAATAGCATTCTAATTATTATAATAAACAACAAAGCTATCTTAGCGCAAATCCAAATCTTCAGCTGAGCATCAATCAAATAGTTTATTTTTCCTTTTTGATAGTTCAAGAAAATATGGACTGTAGTAGGCATAACAACTAGAGAATGAAAACATGACTTCCAATTGCTGGCACACCAAGCATGGAATCTCCTTGTATCATGATCAACAATATAATATGAATCACAAAATTCTACAACACCATAATCAAATTAGCCGGTGCCATACATTCAACATAATCTGGAGAGCCTCTGAGATTACTCAAAATCCATTTCATAGCTTCTTAAGAAGCTCGACCAGGCCAATCCATGTAACTATTGATAAAATTGATTGCATGTAAAATGCATGATGTGCATGCACCATAGCCAACATGATAATTGAGCTAGAACAAGTATACTTCTCTTCTGTCGATTAAAGAAAAATTGCTGATAAATGAAATGACTAACAAACAAAATAAGTCACTTAGCATTGCATTCTACAACTACAAGCTAAATATGTCCAATAACTCGAGATATGCTTATTGTGAACATGCTTAATTTTCTATTTTTGACTGTCACCATCACTAAAAACTTTAGCAACATCAAGAATTTTCAACTCAAATGATGTAATCAAATCAACTTTCATTATTTGGGTCTATGATGTCTATGACTACAATCAACATATCAACAATATATAAGAGCAAATATGTGTAAGATCTATTGGCAAATTTCTTAGGGTACACAAAACAATAAAATTTACTCCCATACACATGGATAATCATGAAATCGCTAAATTTCCAGTATCGCTTCTTGAACGATTTGCTTCAATCCATATAGAACTTTCATAAACACACATTATCAACTTTCTAGCGATTTCAAATCCTAGTAGTAGTTGCATGTTAATCTTCTCGTCCAAATCACTATAGAGAAAATCTCCCATCATATCAAGTTGTTCTAATATTAAACCATTGCCAACAAAGCATGAATAAAGCTATATTTAATTAAAAGTGAGAGAAACTCTGTAAAGTCCATACCTTCCTTTTGATTCTAACCCTTTCCAACCAATTGTGCTTTGTATTTGATAGAATGAGTGTCATCTTTGAGCTTATAGATCCATTTGCCATAAATAATTATTTTATCTTTAGCAACCCAGTCATAATTTCATTTTTTTTTTGTGAAGGCTCCAACTCCTCTATAATAACTGTATCATTGAACTTACCAAATTTGTTGGTCAAGAATCCTGGTGCCTGGCATTAATATAATAAAGCCTATGTGCCATCACTCCATATTCACTCCCAAGGAATATAATCTTCTTTGTTTTACATTTTTAATAGCCCTCTTTGAAATCAACATAGACAAGTCAACCAAAAACCTATAAAACTAATAATTCGTATGATGACTCGACCATACCTTATAAAGAGTCTTCAACTCAAAAGCAATTGTTAGAGATCTATTCACCAAGTAGCATGCATTATTAACTGCCTCTACCTTAATATTTTTACTCAAAACCAACATTGAATAACATGACTTGGCCGACTGCAAGGGTGTCATGTTCATTTTGTTTGTCACCTCATTCAACTATGGCATACCCACAACAATCTTATATCGTAAAAACACTTTCCTTCTGATAAAATATCTCAGACTCAAAAAAGAGTAGAAATCAAGTAATACGAGTCCTCAACCTCCTGATCTTATTTCCTTTTTATTTCTCATTGTGTATTGCACTTCTTAAATGTCTGAAATATATCACAAATTTGCAGCGTGGAAACTCATAACTTCTTAAAATATCATCTATGAAGATAAGTGTTATGACCTGGCTCGGGGTATATGAAGCACTCAACTCGTCTCCCTCCTTTCCGCTCTCAGTTTCTTCTTCTTCTTCTTCTTCCATTTCTTTTTCTTCTTGGCTAGGGCATGGCAGTCTCTCCTCTCTCGATCTCTCTCATTATCTCTCACTTGTTCTGTTCGATTGGTTTGAAAGGATGCAAATTTTATGTCGTAATCAAAGATATGCATATCCCTCCCTACACATGTTCGATTTAATTATTATTATTATTATTACTATTTTAGTTATATCTCTCCTCCTTATAAAGATTTCTTCCTCGAAATTAAGAAACTTCACACTAACTAAACATTACACAGATTGAACATGAACTATACACAAATATTCAATATCTTGTTAAATGATAATAAAAATAGACAGGATAAATCCAACTCTGAGATAAAATAATTAAAATGAACAATCCCCATATATCTGAATCAAAACAACATAACTAACATTACAATCGACTTCAAAAATGAAAGTGCATAACGATACTCAACACTAGCTAATCAACATGACATCCTAAATAGCAAAGCACTCAATCAAACTCTCTAAGTGTCAACATGTTCTTCAGGCTCCTAATGACTTAAGGGAAAGACTTTTGGTTGAGTGTTCTACCTCAGTTGCTCTTTGCAAGTCACAATACCAACTTCTATCATTCTCCGCTGACCATTACTAAAAACAGATCCCTCCTAAAACTTCCTCTAAGTTGATTTTTTTCCTAATTTAGCATTTGATGTGGATTTCTTAGTAGAATTAGGACAATTTCTCATTTGATGTCCAGACCGTGTGCATAAGTAACACACCTTCAAACACAACAACACTCACCACGATGTTGCTTCCCACACTTAACACATGACTGTATACTATTGTTGTCAGTCTGACTGATAACTCTATCAGTGTACGACTTTATCTTCTTCCCATTAGACTCTCCTTAATGAAATGTTAGTGTTACTTCTTTCAAACTCTTCCTCATATGCAAATCCTTGAGCTTTTGTGTTTACTGAAAATCGACCTCCGCCCGCCTATCTCTCTCCATTAGCACTGAATAGTCTTCGATCCCAAGTGGCACTAGTGAATGTCTGACTGAATTCTTCAATCCAGAAAGAAATTTGTGGCATTTCCCCTCTTCAGTAGGAATGATTTGCAGTGCATACCTGGACAACAGAGTAAATTCTGCTTCGTACTACATAACTGATCAACTACTCTGTACCAACCTAATAAATTTATCAGGCATCTGTCTCCTGGCTAACAATGGTACAAACAAATCTCTTAAGGCTGTCACGAACTCCTCCCAAGTGGTTGGTTCTACCACCAAACTTCTCTCGCATCTGTCCTTGCCACCACCACTCAGCTTCTTCCTCAAAGGCGTGAAGTGTAACTCTCCTCTTTGGTAAACATATCATACTATTAATGATTTTCTCCACTCTCAACCGCCAGTTTCAGCTTCCATTGGCCCTCATGCTCCAGAAAACAAAGGTAGAATCATATCCTAAAAAAGCTTTAAGTACTAATCCATCGGTGCTCCTCCACTGCTAATAGATTGAGGTTGAGAGTCATAAACATCCACATCACTGCAGTCATCATCTAAGCAAAACACCAAAATTTACCATAACATCATGGGGTATATCAAATTCCACACATCATCATCCCTAGCCTCTAACTCTGGAACATCCAAAATTCTAAAATAACAATAAAATAAGTAAATGGAACAACGAAAAAAAAATTTCACCGTCCCACCATCCATTCTCATCTTGGTTAATTCCAAGCCCCGGGTCGGGTCAGGACAGTAAACAAGCATGTAAATTTGATATGACATTGATAGTAAAGCAAGAGTTGGAATGAAATAGTCCAAAATACTCTTGATCCAATGAAGTTCACTAGAAAACTTCAATGTGTAATGCTTACCCATAATATAATGTTCAAAAAACTCTAAAGCTCCAATCATCTAACCCATAGTATATCTATCTCAACTCTAATAAACCCCGCTCTAATATATTCAACAGACATAAGGGAAAAGAATGTTAATCAACCTCAAACATTACCTATAATATAATGGCCCTTTCATTTAATATCTCGTTAAACTGTATGAAGAAAAAAATTGATGCACAACCTATTATAGGGCTAAACTGAAGCGAAAAGAATGTTAATCAACCTGCTTTGCCCTAAAGCAACGCCTTTAGTGGTGAATATGAATATGCACCCATTAGAGTTGAAACAATCAAAAGACATAAAATTCTTCTTTAGTGCT